GGCCGCTACGATCTTCTTCTGAATAGCTCTTTTTATGAAGAAAGTTCATTTTCAGGTTGTGACCTTTCAGAGACATAAACCATGACTATTACTACTCTAAAGATATAAAACACCACATCTGGGAAAGCAAAGTTGGGGATTTCCTGCTTACAGAAGAGTAACACAAAAACTGCTCGTGATTGGCCTCGCTTGTCGAAAGACACAAATCATTCAGTATATGATACAAGGCAAATAAATGACTGTAGTCTGTGTGTCTGTGTGTGTGTGTGTGTGTGCAGAATCCCTTGTGCCCATCTTGGCGTCCATCCAGTTCCTCTCAGCTGAGTTCTCGGGCATAGCAGAGATAACCGCTCCAGTGATCAGCGTATGACAGAGATTTAGTGTAGCGAAGAAGCAGCAAAACAACCCTGGTTCTTACAACCCGTCAGTTGTTCCGCTGGGAGTGGGACGGTCAGCTCATTTAGCACTTCACACATGTGATTATGCAGCGTATGTGTGAGTGTTTTCAGGGCCATGTGAGGTAATCTGTCTCTCAATTATTCTCCCTCTCATTCTCTCCCTCTGCTCTGCTCTCTGTCTCTTTCACCTCATCACCTCTCCGTGTCTCGGGGAAGGAAAGAGCATCGCAGCTTGATTTGTTTAACGCACCGGCTTCTCCCTCTATGAGGTGCACACACGCAGGAGATGATGAAGAGGAAAAGAGATGAGATATCTTTCATGGCGCTGTAGATTTGACATGAAATCTTGGTGAAGCGGCAGGGGAGGCTGCATGAGATCTATGGCAGACGCATCTCACACACACACACACACACACACTTATCCCTGGAGTGTGCCCCTCCTTGTCAGCCAAGTGCTGCTACGCTTTGATCTTGACACTGTGGGTCAACCCAAGCCTCCATCCCTCTAGTTTCTTTTTTCCCCCTCTTACACTTTCTGTCTCCCCCTCCCTCCCTGCCTCCCTCTGGCTGTCTGCACGGTTGGCCCGACAGCCTCAGGGTGTTTAGGCTCTGGAGGGATCCCAATTTCCTCTTCTAATCATGACATCATCCTGCCTCAATAGGTTAAAGATGTGGCCAGGATATTCCCCGCTTCCTTGTTGTGCAGCCTCCCATCAAATTACGCACATTACACGTTACCAGCAGCGCCAACAGACTCCATTAGGCTCTAAAAAAGCAAGGAAGTGGCGTAAATGTGGAAGGGAAGCATGCAAATCATGTGTATCTGGCCTCTGCATGTTTGGCGTATCTGTGCATTTTGTTAGTGAGCACATACGTTTCAGAGCAGCCGGATCCAGGTCATGAGGTAATCCAATAGTGCTGTTCATCAGTAGTTCAGATATTGTGTCCTAGACTTGGACTTGATTAAAGGCTCAGGCTGATTAGAGGTGAAGAGTATCCGTGGCCTGCCCTGCCTGTCAATATCTATTAGCTTCACCTCCGCCGGCTCTGCTAATCACACCAAGATTGGCTCATCTGACCGGCTCCTCTTCCCTCTTCTCTCTTACCCACTTCTTTTTTTGTTTGATTTCTTGCTACAACACTTCCCCTGCGTTAAGTGAGAAACGAGAGCGGCCCAGATTACAATCAAACTTTTCATTTTCTGCCAAGCCGACAGCTGTGCTCAGCCGTCATGCGCATGATGAAACAATGTTGCTGCAACAATTCAGGCCAATATCAGCATTGCCATCATGAGGGAAGCTCTAGTCATAGCAATCTTTCCAGCTCCCTCCAAACTTTTGGAAACCTTTTTTCTGTGTTATGTGTTTGTGAGGGAGGACTGTATTTTATTTTGTGTAACTTGATATCAAAGATAGCTTAAAAAAGATATTTTGGCCCAAAGAGTTGAGTCTTAAAGTTGATTTTTATAGGACTCATAAAGAGCTGTAAGTTATAGTATACAAGGCTTGATGCTCTTTTTATGCTTGTGGACCTTTTACCTGCACGAAATCTGCCAAAAACATCTTTTTGATCTCACAATCGTATCTGTCCTGCAGCTTTAGCCTCAACTGTGCATAAAAAATGACATATATTCTTATAATATATCAGATTTTCCATTTTATATTGCTCTTTTGTAATGCACATGTGCACTTAAATGCGCATATCAGTCAATAACAGTGGGACAGCAACAGCAAACCAGAGCCAGACTTTTGACCAGAGGGCAGAGACACGGATGAGTTTATAACCGTAGGACATGACCTGATGGGCTGAAAGCTTTATGCCTTATCTAAAGAGAGAGAACAAGATTTTTACAGGGTGAGTTCACAATATTTACGAAGATAAAATAAGTTGTTGCGTTGATTTTTAAAGCTCCGGAGGGGAAGTTTTGGTTCATGTCCATTTTGGCTCCTGCTATGAACAAAGGAGTATGTCCTAGTTTGTTGTAGTTTTTGTCCCATGCATTTGGAGGAAGAGTTTATATAAGTCCACCACTTATAATGCATTATAATACATTTATAAAACATCAGAAATGCATCTTTAAGGCATTCTCATAGGGGTGTCCCGATACGATATTGATATCGGATATCGGTCCGAAAGAAAAGGCAAAAGCAAAAAAAAAAAAACAACGGATTATATTGACCTGCATCTAAAATCTCCAATATCAGCACTCTGATACAAGCAGTCTATTACAGACTCCGCTCCGGCACCTCTATCTAGCAGCGCCCTGATCCAGCAAGCTGAGCCCACAAAATCACAACAACAGTGTGTACTGAGGTATTAACAAAGCAGCAAGGAGTAAGAGTGATGTTGGCCTTGTAGCAGTATTTTTTGTTGAAGTCCGATAAAGACATTGGAGCTGAGTGAAAAAGTTGACATGCATAATTTTGTGCCAATATCGGATCTATATCGGTTTCGGTCAATATTGAAGGCTACAATATCAGTATCAGAAGTCAGAAAGTTGTATCTGAACACCCCTACTCTCTAGTAGTCCTTATGGGTGTTTATCAGTACTCATTACAGCTTATGACAATGTTAATACAGTGATTCTAAAATAGTACAAAAACTCTCAGCACGGCCTTAAATATCTGGACTTTTATAAAAATCACATATTTGGACACACAAGCTGTATTAACATGGATATAAATTCTGAATCAACATGCCTCACACTTCCTGTTTTCAACTAATCAGCTCACTGGCATGTAGCGTCACACCCTCTGCATCATGTGCCACCCTGTACTCTAGCTTTCCAGGTTTCAACCACATCGCCGTTTCAGAGGAAAAGCTCACGTGCGCGATCAAATAAAGCGCTGCCATTAAAGGAACACCTGTAGTAACAACAATAATGGGGTGCGGTCAGAGGTGTTGTGCTTGAATGTTTGAGCGTCTGAAGTCAGTGACAATACCTGGATTAATATCTCACATGCTGTTAGCTTTGGTTGCTGTGTGTAAAACGCCCTGCCATTACTGGAATGCATCTCCAAATAAACAGCTTCAAAGTTTGTCACAACTCAATCCTCAAACTCTTTATTGAGAAGGCGGTTGCATTTATTTTATCCATGCTAATACTCTTGTCATGATAGCCAAGTTAAAGCAGCTCTGTTGTTATTCTCTTATTTCAAAGAAACTCTATCAAGATCACGATAAAACCGAGAAAAAGAAAGTGTAGGAGCTAAATCCACATCGGGATCATGTTGACACCAAATGAATCTACAACTTAGGGTCAGATTTTAAAACTATATCAAATTAAAGCAACTTTTACATCAGCCTGTTTGCAAACACGGCGGCTCCATCATTGCCAGCGTTTAACATTCCCATCCACCTGTTACCGCAGCAGTTAATGTAAGGTCTCATGGGCTCTACTTAGAGAAAGGTTCAGTCCACACCTCTTCCTCGGAAACCTGAGCCCTGAATTTTTAAGTCCACGGAGAGAGGCTTCAGCCCAAAGCGGGCCAGAAAGGATCCAGAGCTCTTAGGCTGATTTCAAGCTCTGAGAAAGCCACGGCATCTCTGCCAGCACTCAACACTTCTGCTTCTGACTGGACTCCCTGCAGTCAGTATGTCTGACTGCTGAATATATAAACCAACCTAGATAGGGTTTTACAGTGGAAAAATTTGTTAAATGGCCACTGTTGAAAAAGGCAGATTAAAACTTGTTGAAAAGTGAAAAGTATGCCAAATGTTTACACATGAACAGCAATTTTTGGGGTCACATTTTATACAAATTGGGGATTAAATGATTGATTCACAGTGCAAGTTGTTGTTTTTTATTATTGAACTTTTATATAAAGCTCCTATGTGGAGTTTTTGATTTTAATATAGTCGTCTGAAATTCACATTTACACTTTCATATGATGTCCAAAAGCAAGCAAGACCATCAGCGACAGGATAAATAATTTTCATAGTATCATGTTTTTAAAACTTAAAAACTGGTGTTAGAGGGTTGCTGTTTTTACACTTTTTTATAGAAAGTATTCCCGTTAAACAACACATCTGAGTGCTAAAAGTCAGCAGGATGACACTACATAAACATGTAGGAGACAAAATAGGAAATAATGGTATTGTCCACAGGTGGCGCCAAAATCGAAACAAACCAAAATTTGCTCACAGGAGCTTTAATCAGAATAAGAAAACTCTTTGATTTAAAAAGGTCACCACAATAACCATTCCCATCCTCCTAACCATGACACAATAATGTGATTTTTGTGATTGAGTTGAATTAAAAGTACAAAACTAAAGATACAGCCAGAAAACTAAGTTGGATCCAATTTAGCGGTACTCCATGTTCATGTATAAAACATCTTCTCATCAGAGCGTAACAGACTGGATTTTCTCTAATATGTTCATTCCTTTCTTCCTTCACACAGAGGGAACAGACAGTTCTGTATAATGACAATTTTTACAGTTTCAAAGCAAAAACATTCATTACATACACCCACAGACAAAAACAAATACACACACTCAAGACAAAACCTTACTCTGCTGTGATTTTTCCATTTCCTCTCAGGTGGAGTCTACATTTCCGGCTCCTGTGAAGTTCTTGTATATGGTCCAGAGTTATACAAAGTCTTTCCACTTGACATCAGCAATGCAGGTCAGTCTTTCCTTTATCTACATTCTCAGTAGGTGTTTTCAGACCAAACAGTCTGGGGACTTTTTGAAGAGGAACTATCCACGAGGGAGTTCCCACACACTATGGGGACTTGTATCTGAATTTGCCCCTGGAGTGACAGAAGCTAGAGCATTATCAGTTATAAAACACAGCTGACAATATGGAAGATGCCGTGGAGCCACTTTACCACAAGCATCACCTCTGACTTAGATTTAAATCTATTGACAATTACACATTAAAAAAAAGAGTAGCTTCACATTTAAACATTCAGTATCGATGTCAAGAATACTAGCAGACGAGCAGAGCAGGGGTTGTGTATATCTTCTTGTGTACATACAGAGTGCAGCCGAACAAATCCTGTATTGATTTTCTGATTTTACTTTTCAACAAGCGTCAGCCCGACCTGTCCTATCAATATCCTCTTGTTAATCAATTTTAAAGCATTTCATTTATCAAGTATAAATGCTGTTGTATTTACCTGCACCATGTTATAATAGTTGGACAGGTGGCCCTACCCCTATTAATTCAGAACTGCCATTTCTTCAAGTTTTTTTTTTTTCACTTCACTTTCACCCAAGCTGGGCACTGACTTATGCAGGGGTAGCAAAAGTTTTTTTTTTCTTTTTTTTTTTTTTTTTTTTCCCCCATCTTAAATAGATATATCGAGGTACTGGCTGAGGTGACTAATACGATTTTGAGAGGCTCATGCCACCCCTGGCCATCCATCTGGATACACCCCTCGTGCTAAAGTCTTTGATTTTATGAATAATTTCATGCTCTATTGTGTGAATCCTCTGTTGTTTTTGCAGAGAAATGAAATGCAGACTTGTTGAAATAGTAATGAATTAATATGAAAGAATTAGAGGACTGAAATTAGATTTGCAGCTTCAAAACGCACACAAACTGTGACAAAGTGACACTCGTTTATTTGTGGTGCAGCACTAAAGACTTTACAGCCCTAAATTAGCAGCAATTTGCAAACCAGCTTGGAATTATTTTCAGTCCATTATCCATAATTTAAAGCTAATTAGTTTAGCTTCACTGTGACAGTACTGTACTCGACATTAGATTTAATTCTTTTATTCTCCAATATGATTTAAATTAAAGCCTCTTCAGTGGACAAAATGGGATAATCAGTCACAAGAGAAGAAGACGGAAACACAAGCTGAGGACACTTTTGAAGACGTCTTTCCATGGAAAGTTGCACGGCAGCATTTACTGTTGTATGCTGGCTAGCTCACGGCCAGAGTGTGTTTCACATTAGGGAATAAGAGAGTGATACTGTGCTTGAACCTGACAAGCAGTAACCTTTATGGGGGTATGAGAGGCGGCTGAAGTCAAACTCACACAGCCGTTTTTCATTCTTTCAACTTTTTCATCTTTCAGTCAGGCTCGCTCTCTGGAGATTTCTCTTTTCTCACCATTGTGATGAAGCAACACCTCTGGGATCGATTGGAAAAACACAGCAACGCTAATACCGCTAATAAGGTCAGCTGACATTTGTTACAGAGACGTCAGTTTTTCTGAAAGCATTCCAGCCAAGCAAACAACATACCGCGAGTTTGATGGCCAGTTAGCATGTGTACCCTCGCACTTACAAGCATATCTCCTCTTTTTATTTGCAAAATGAGTAAGGTGGGAGAGGTGGGGGATTGGATTCCTCCGAGCCTGCTGTTCCCAGTCAGTGCAGGCTGTAGACAGCTGGGCGCCCACTACAGTTAAGATCAGAGGCCTTGATAACCTGGGCCCTGATTTATGGAGAGCAAGCGGCCTCTGCAATCACCTAATGAGGGAGAGAACGCAGAGTGTTTACATGTTTATTAGATAGCCAAAACCAGCTGGGGACACTATGTTCCTTCCCCTCCCTTTCTTTCTTTTCCTCTCTCTCCCTCTTTCTCTCTCTCTCAGCATCCATCCACAACATCTATTGTATCACACTGCTGTAATTCATGAACAATGACGGAATTGTGGTAAACTGGATGCTTTTCATTAGACCATTTGCAAACAGTTTTTGGAGAGCATCTGTGGCCTGTTTTGATACTTGGTGTGTTTTTAATATGTTACACCGATCCACAAGAGAAGAAAGGTCAGCTGATGCCAAAAGTGTCTAAAAACAAACACTTCTTTTCCCAGTCGGAATCAGAGTATAATGCCAAGTAGGTCTGCACACACAAAGCATCTGCCTCCGGGTTTGGTGCGTTACAGCACACAGAAATGGCGTTCAGAGATGCAAGTTAAATAAAACAGAGAAACTTAAAGCTCCTTTGAGGAACTTTTGCTTTGCAGCAAATAATAGCGCCCCCTGTGGACAAAGCAATCTTAGCCTCTTTGGCTTTTGATTTAACAAAATCAGAGTATTGCTGATTTTGGCAGTCAAATGTCATTTTTGTAAATATTTAACATATAAAGTGTAAAAGTGGCCTTTTTAGTCTTTTAAAATTATATTATACAAATAGTTAATTTTGTCACTGATGGTCATTTTTTCTTCTGTATATCATAAAGAGCCTTGAAAGAGAATTTCAGTCTCTTTTATAAATGTTAAAAAAAACTCCTCACAGGAGCTTTAAAGCATAAATATGAATGCATGTTAAAAGCACTATGAAGAGTTATTACCTGGTTGAGAAACAGACTTAAAGTAATACTGATGCCTCCTCATGTCCTTCAAAAGTGACCAAGACCACCAGGAACAAGTCTTATGATTTTACTTTAGTCCTCAGACAAAATGATTGACAGCTGGCTGTATAGCAGCCTTTTTGACTTTTTGACACAGCAAATACTCACAGTGAGCAAGAAATGGAAATTTTTTCAGTGAAAAAAAAAAAAAATTCTCATGTACAGGACAATAGATAGGAGGTATCATTTTGTCCATATGGGGGCGCCAAAATCAACACAAACAAATGCAAGCAAGAAAACACGACCAATTTGTCCCCTACAGTGTCTTTAAAAGATATGTGTATTATATGGTGTTGCTGATGTTTAAATAGAGTTGTATTCTTTGTACTGGGATTTACAAAATTTACAGTCTGAACTGCTGAGCCAATTTGCAAAATACAGAGATAGTAATACAATAGATAAGTGTGTCAGTCTAACCCCCAGAGTCTATCTAACTTTAATGTTGCTCTGTACAGTATATTGTTGCCATAAAACAGTGCTCAGTTTATGGGGATACATCCATTAGGATGTAACAATAAATGCTTTCTTTCTTTCCAAGTACTTTGGCACAGGTGTTTAAGATCCCATTGTTCTTCTCCACAACCAAATCGCCAAACATGAGCTGACCTCTTTTCAACTGGAGGGACTTGGATTGGTGAGGCAGAATTTAAGACCAGAGTTCTAGCGTTTCTTTTTTTCTTTGGTTTGTGAATGCGCTCTGGCGTGCGTCCATATAAAGGCATTTTCAGTGACTGATGCTCAGTGGAAATCAGATGGTATTATCCCTGCTGCTGCTGCCCACACTCTGGAAATCAAAAGGAGAAACAAGTTCGGTAAAAGTGCGTGTGTGGCTTGTTTATGGGCGCAGATTTTCTTTCTTTTAACAGTGTTGTCCAGAAACAATGATAGATGATAAAATAACACTGGCATTCATACACACAAACAAAAGCACACTTTCCCATCAGCCTCCCAGGAATCCCTCAGCACCTGGGAAAAACTCCTTGCTGTCCAAAAAAGTTAATGCACAACAGACGGCTTTCTCTCACTCTCTCTCTCTCACTCACCCTCTTTCTCTCCATTTGGCCTTGTAAAACCTTAGCAAATCAAATCCGCTTTCCATCAGGGTTTTATAATTGTTGTTTTCGTTAGAGGAACAGCGGTTCTGAGGTCTTTCAAACCTTGTCTTTCAACCAAACCGGATCTTTGGTTCTTGTTATCCTCTGCTGGTGTTGAACAGATTGTGTTCGAGTCCCTGCTGGAGCTTAAAGAGGTTCACATGTCTCCAGACTGTTCATGAGGTATTGGTGACCTGTGAGAGTACAGTGTCGAGTTCCTCTGACAGTTTGCAGTTTGGGTTTTTGTGATAACTTGTTGTCGGCTTCTTCTTATCATATGACCGTTGCCTGGATGTTCTGACATTTTCTGTGAAAACAGAGGAGCGTGATCACACATCCAATGATTCAAGAATTACATCAGCTCCCTGACTAAAGGCCGTAAATCTCTGTTAGGTGTCAGAGAACACGTACTGTATCTGTGTGAAAGTGTACAGTGGTTCTCGAGGGCAAAAGTGCAGCAATGGCCCCAGAGGTAAGAATTTAAAAATGATTGAAATCTATAAAAAAAACGTTCAAACGTGTAAAATATTTAAATACATGATGCAAAGAGGGTAACATCCAAACCCCAAAAACAAATACAACAAAAAGGTGTTAAAAATCTCGGTCTGAAACAATGAAGCCAACATGCAAACAAACTGCAGTTCCTTAAATGTCCACTTCACTGTTTCCAGTAGTCAAGGGTAGCTGCACTGATACCTGCCTTAAAATGCCCACTGTAGAAACATGATGCGATGCAATGTGTTGCGATTTGATTTGATTTGATTTGATTCGATTCGATTTGTCTTGGACTCCAAAAGCTGCACAGATAAAGCTGCCAATAGATAACACATAGCATTAGACCCAACAAAGATACAGTCACACAACCCACGCACCCTGCACATACACGTCTTGCACAAGAAACTCACAGAAATGGTCAAACAAAAAACTCTCTGACAACAAATATCAATTACAAAGAATAAAAAAAATAAATATATTAAAGCTCCTGTCACAAAATTTTGGTAAGTGTTGATTTTGGCACCCCTGCTGCCATCTTTCCTGATTGTGCTTCACTTTGCTGTGGAACATGGAAAATAAGGCTGTATCAGCAGTGTACAACTTTTTGCCTTGCCTTGCCACCAGAGATTAGAAATAACTCAATATATATCATCACCATTCTTTTGTAATAATCTCTTTTGCTATTTAAGGTTAAAAAAAACATCTATATTAACTTAAGCTTGTTTCAAACCTCACTAAAAACTCCACACAGGAGCTTTAAATGTACAGTTGTGGTATTAACAGCTAGTTTTTTAGCTTGTACACATTGTATTAGGTTTGTACACCAAGATTAATGCTTAAATCTGCACAATAGGGGTCTATTTATAGTGAGTATGTCACAGCTGAAAGGCTCCCTCAACCCCACCTCTCTGCCAGTGTCTAAAGTAGGTTGATTACGTATTTCCAACCAACATCGTTAAGCTTCACAGCACTTCTTCAGAAATCAACAGTTGGAGTTACTGGGAATATGTTCATGATTTATGCGTTTAGAGGGTTTAGATGCATTAAATGTGAGCACTACAAGTGCTAGACCAAAGAAAGTTTCTGGGCGAGAGAGAGAGAGTTACAGAATTTCAGACATCATTCATCCTGTTGGGAGGGTCTCTGAAGGCTGGGTGTTGCTGACAACCATGTAGGATCAAAAATCTCAAAATTTATGAAAACATGAGTGTCTGGTTCATACTTTAGACATCCAGGCAAAGCCTCGAGAAGTCTGATCTTCAAGTCTTCTCTCCTCTCTTCAGCTGTTAGATGCCGACCGGCTGGCGCTCCTGACCAGCCCCGACCCCAACAAATCACTAATTTTTATACAATTACCCCCCGCTCCCTTCCTGCGCATGGCTGGGTGCAAGTGTCGCCCGTCTGCCTGCCATTGTGTGCTAATTTTAGGCCCATTATTCGCTGTAACAAATGTGCTATGGGCAGAGTCACTTTCACATTAATAGTTTGCACCCAGAGGGGAAGTCTTCCCCCTCATCATGGATCAAAGGTCTCCTCTATTGTATCTAACTTCCTGTTTCCCTTTTTAGCCACTGTGTGTTGTTTTTTCTCACTCTCTCAACCTGGACCTCGCTACAATGGCAGTTCAGGGCTTTAATATTGGACACTGAGGCAGCTGCGGCTCAGTGGTAGAGTGGGTCGTCAGAGGGTTGGGGGTTTGAGTCCATATTACCCAGTGTGTAGTGTCCCAAACTACCCCCCTGGTGGCTGTGCCAGTGGCGTGTGGGTGGGATTCATCATTACTGATGGGTGCTTTACCCAGAAGCCTCTGCCCTCTGTGTGTGAAAGTGGTTTAAATAGATATACGTGAAATATAATGTAAAAGTTCTTTGAGTGGTCAAAGGGAGTGCTGTGCAAATTCACTCCATTTACCATTTACACTGCTGTGTGTGACAAGCACGAGGAGACGCCCTTTGACCTGTTGTGTGAGAGCCAGCAGGTGATTTGTGGAAATAGGAGGAGATGTGTGAAGTGAAAGCTCACGGTCTTGATATCATGTGTCCGCAGAGAAATCTGGATCCTATTGTTGTACTGTCAGCAGAGGTGTCCAAGTTTGATAAAATGCCTCGTCACCTTTCTCCGGTTCAACTCCCGCAGATGTTAAATGATAGAGGTTGAGCAGCTGAAATTACCCTGACCTCAGCCTCTGGAAAATATTTTTCAACCCAGAATGTGTGACTGTGCTCTCTTGAAGGTACTCTGATTATCTTAACCCCATGAAATTCGAAGATGACGCCAACTACGGTTAATTTTTCAACCCAGAAGAACTGTCCCTTAAATAACTCTTTGGCGAGGTGCTGCGGTGGATGACTGATGCAGCTCTGTGTCACAGGAAGCTGTAAAGCCAGCAGACGGGGAAGACCCACATGTCACAAGGCTAAACAAATCTCACCTCGCCATTGTACTGAGAACAACTGACCCAACACATGACTCCGATGAATCACACGGACACGTTTGCAGGGGAGATAAAAGCCAATAAATAACAAGGCCGGGAACAGTCGCGACGAGTGCCAGAGGAAGATGCTGAAACAAGCTCCAGAGTGTAGGGAAAGTTCAGTTTTTACATCTTCGATCATATTTTTAAGGTTTTAGCCAAACTCTCTTTTTGAATCACTAACAAGAAAGGACATGAAGGAGTTTCAGTGTATCCTGTCTCAAACCTTGAGCCTTAACTTAAACTGCCTCCTTCAAATTTCCCACTTTTTCTCTGTTTCGAGAGGTCCTTCAGAGGGTAGGGTGTCTCTTTTTACTTTCAATATCAAGAGGTCATCAAACTCTCTGAACAGCTCTTTAAATAGAGTGTTAAGTGATAAAGGAAAACTCCCAAAATGTGCTCCAAACTGTGGCAGTGATACATGGAGCTTTGCAAGTTATTGTCCAAAAACTAAGAAATTAGTAGAAACGATTTAAAGCAAAGGTGTATGCACTTTGATTATTACCACAAGGGTATGAGAAGAATGGTGTCCCATTTCTCAGAGATTTCTACCCATACCTTTGGAGGTATAGAGCCTCTTTCTTATCCAAAGTTTTCCAGGATTTGGGATAAGGCCACAAAAAAAATGAGAGCGATAGAAATGGTGAGACTGATGCATGTAGTCAACCAGCAGCAGCAGTGATCCAGAGGAGCCTACGGGATGAGGGAGCTCAGGGACCCCCAGAAAAGACTGTAGTTAGTGACTAAGACAGGACATGATGATTCAAAGTTAATGACATTTATTTACCATTATTGGTTTTGCAGAATTACCCCCAATTTCCACCACATCCGGAACGGCTACGAAAAGGCTGTATCCGCTGAATGTAGCTGATCGTAAACATTCAAGTTAATGTGTCAATTTCCACCAGCTTCTTTCCATTCCACTGCGGGTCATGGGACTCCACAGCTGATCGCAGGAGTTCTATTTTTTCCGAACGCTGGAGCATGCCGGATAAATTCAGCACAGATTAACCTGTTCTGGAAAGGAAGTCGGGCACACACACAAAATAAAACATTCGGCTTCCTTTCAAAATAAAACACTCCGTATTTCACACCATGCAAACAGGCAGGGACGAACAAGTCAAAGGTTTTTAGACAGCATTTCATCCCGATGACACCATGGATGAGAGGATAATGATTTTGTAAGTCTAAAGTTGGATCGCCTCCACTGGAAGGACACAATCTACTGCTTATATGGTTAGCCTATGTGGCTAGAGACAACTCGTTATCACGCGATTGTACATGAATCCCCGGGTTCTTGTGAGTTCTTGCAATTCCTGCTGTCCATAATTTGTCACGAAACGCGCCTCACAAACGGATCCGGTAGGAATTGGCAGACGGTGAAAATTTGCAGCCGTTCCAGATCGTTGCCATTACGGAATCACAAGATCACAAGACTGCCATGTTTTTTTACCGTATAGTAAACAAATATAGAAAGAGAGTATAGAGAAGCTGCTGTATGGTTTAGAGAGGGAAGCATTTCTCCAGGCACAGTGATCCTGTAATACGGGCCACGCAGAAGGTGAAAGGGATTGCTGATGGCTCAGGGGGGTGACCTCTTAGCCGATGGGGGATGGAGCGATATAGGAGCAGCGGTCAGTACTGCGGCTGCAGGAGTGTGTGTCATCCTCTGCTGTGTGACGTGTCCGTGTTAATGCAGCATGTCCCCTGTGGGATGGGGAAGGGACCGAGCCCTGCAGATTTACAGAACGAGCGGTTTGCTCATGATACTTCAGGTCAAACTCCCTCCTCCTGGCAGTGAAGGCGGATGGTTTGACAGAAAGTGTGTAGAGAGCCACAGCTGAGGCTCAGGCAGAAAATAATGAGGTAAAATAAACATGAAAGCAAACACTGATTCATGTTTCAGTGTATCTGTAAAAATCTATCAATCAATCACTCACTTTATTTATAGAGCACTTTTCATACATGGACTGTATCACAAAGTGCTGTACATTAAAGAATACAAGAAGGAAAAGATCAGGGGATACTGAATAAAATACAAGTTAAAATGGTGACTTATAGCAGAATCTGCACTTTTCCCCAGGAAGAAAGATCTGTATTTAAATCTGAATACTAGTCGAGCCGAAGCAGGCATCAAAATAGAGCAGCTCCGCTCAAATTAATTAAAATTCAAACTTAATGTCTCCTTGAACCTGTGACATTGTAAACAACAGGCTCCCTACAAATTTGGCCTCTGTTGCCATGTTATTGCTGCAATACACTCTTCATGTTGTCAGGGCAGCCAAAGTATCCACATTTTTTGCCTCTCTCATTTTATTTATTTTTTTTTTTTTTTTACCCATAAAGGCTGATGTACAATCACGAAGAATGTGTGCAATCGAATGTCCTTTCTCATTGTGGCCTCATTCACAGATGAATTGGCTGTTCCCCTCATGTCCGTGAGTTTTATTTAGCTACACCACTCTATTGGCTAATTTGTTATGTCGTCCTTTTTTTCTGTCCTGCGCTGATGTCTTGTGCTGATGTCTCGGGGAAACCTTCAAACATGTGAACCCAGCACGCACAAGTCCAAGGAACAGGAAACTGAGAACAAGAAGCAGCAGGTTATTTTTTGTAAGACCAAAATCAAAGCTCTTCAGAAACTGCTAAATATTAAGACATGTTTTTATTGGAGATAAGAACAAATCTCTATGCCGCTGAAATCTTTGCAGATGATGATGTTGTATTCAGGGCTGTCTCAAGACGCACTATTGAGGATAACAGTCTGTTTTGGAATAATTAATATCGATATTGGCCAAAAATAAATATACGGTATGAGTTCATTGTCCTTCACACTGATTTGACACATCATAGAGAGAGCTGCTAAGATACTTCTAAAAACTGGAATTTAAAGATTCAGCTTGTGTCTCTCAGAGTTACCGATCTAACTGTTCATTTGATTAATTTTATTCAGATCCGCAACTTGAAGTCTGCAGTTTATACTCCAAAATAAAAACATAGTTTTACCATGTGGAAAATAAAGTAATGTAAACAATATATTTATAATATAATATCGACAAAAAGGTGATATCTACTCCAAACCAGTTTCAGTCACGGAGCGGCTGGTGCAGATGAAAAAAATCAACTGAGTAGTTGGTCAAGTTTATTAAGTGTATGATGTGTAACTCCAGCCTCATTTTGCCTTTTCATCAATGTCACTAAATGTGTTGTTTTTCAAAAATATTGTGATCATATCTTTATTGCAGTATTTTAAGGCCACGATATTTATGAGGTGAACATCTAACACCATGACAGCCCCAGTAGTATTATTTGTTTGAAACTGTGTTGCCTGATTGTTTGACAGTGTAGACCTCAGGGGTAACCCTCTCTGTAAAAAGGTCAGGTTTGTACACACTCAATGTTGTGCAGATAAAAGGAAATCAAACATCATCTGTGAATGAATGTTGAAGCTAAGAGAGGAAGATGGCTGTCCACCTCAGAGTCTAGATGTGTTGGAGGTTTCTGCCTCTTTAAAGGAAGGTGCTGAGTGCCGTAGGACAATATTTTTAAAAACCTGTTGAATCTGAATGGATGTTTATTTCCAGATTCTCTCTTTAGTGGCAAAATTGATGGGGAGCTGGTAGTCGTGAGGAAAACTAGCACATGCTGTCATGAGTAGAAATTTAACTAGCAAGGCTACTTTCCAATCCTGCTGTAACAATTAGTCGTGTAACAGCATGGCTATATCTTTCCCCGTCTAGTTCTCCAAATTAATTGAAGGAGGAAGTAGCATGTGAGGAAATTAGGCCAAAGAAGAGCAGAGTAAAGTGCACATTAAGGAGGCTAAAAGCATTTCCCTTTTTTTTTCTCCCACTCCTTGTCTTTCTACTTGAGGCCTTGGGGAGATAATGAGAGCCTTGGCTTTGTAAACATTATTTCTGGCATATTGCAGCTGCCATCAGCTTATTTATGGCCTGAATTTTAATAATCTGGGAGCTAATATGCTTGAGAAAATAGGGAAACACACAGTAAAGCTTGAGCACAGCCAAACATTGCTTTCCTACCCTCAGCAAGGAGGCCACTCAACAGGAACATCAAACGCTCGCTCTCCTGCGTCTGGCCCACGTTAATTGTACGTCTATTGTGCCCCCAAAGGTCTCTGGGAACCAAAGGAGGAGAAAATTGGCACAGAGAGAGAGAGAGAGAGAGAGAGGGAGAAAGAGAGAGCGCTAAATAAATAAATTCTTAAACTTTGTCAGACTGGCAAAGGTTTTGATACCTTATTCTGAGCTCCCACTGCATTTCAGTAACAAAAACATCCTTTCAACTCGGGTGTTAGTTTTATTTATTTTTATTAAACCTCTTAAATAGTGCAAATAAATTGCATCTTTCTAGTTTATCTAGGAGGCCCTGAAGTCCTGTTCTCGCAAACAAACTTTAGAAACAGCTTTTCCATCAAGATAAACTGAGTTGAAGCGCCAGTGGGTAAGTTTGTGTCAAGTTTGGCACCCTCTGTGGACAAAGTTGTCTTTGCTTATCTTGTCCTCTACCTGCTTGAACAGCATTCTCGATCAAAAAATCTTATCCGGCCAACTTTTAACATTCAAATCTTTCATTTCTTGTGAATATTTTGTATTGAAAAATGTAACAACGGGGAAGTTTCTTCTGCCGCTTGGTTTCAGACTCAGCGTTGAGATATAAAAACCATCAGTCATTTCGCTGATGGACTTTTGTAGATCGTACAAATACATTAACTAAAATTTCAGTTCAATAACCATTAGTCATTGATGACATTTGGGAATATAATGATATAGCTGTGTTTTGTTATGTCTGTGTAGTCAACATTTTAAATTTTTTGAGTGGCCCGCTCTTTCTGACTGTAAACAAAGTAGTTCTCTGCCTCCCCATCCTGATTGGTTGTGAGGCAGACGCTGCTCCCCCGTGTCGTTCAGGAGCCCAAACAAAGTTAGCGTGCTACAATATCGGACAGTAGAAACCAACCAGAAAGTACAGAAAACTGTCTGAATCCTCCTTTAGCCACGACTGCCAACACAAGTAAGAAAACAAACTTAATACCGGAGACTGGCGGAATAAAGGGTGCTTAAAAACGAGGTAGACCGGACAAGAGCTAAAGAATCCAGGTCAACAATGATGGGGGATGCTTCGGGATCTTACAGACCCTGTAACCTTTCTGCTGGACAGGTAAACCGCTTTAACAAACTAAGCTAAGTGTCTTTAGCAGAAGTGTTTCTTGTCAAACGGGACCTGCTGCATGTTGTAGCGCCACTAAACTGTTTACCTCGGGTCCTGGAGTATGTCACTTTATCCTGGTTGGTTGTGAGGCTGGTTGTAAAAGTCCTGCATACGTTTTGTTTGCTGGTAGTCTGTTGGCATCTACATTCGCATCAATGCTTTTTACTGTCATGTTAACTGGGCCCCCTTTTGTAATTATCTGAAGTATTTATCTGCATTATATCTGAATTTAACTGGAAGGATACGAGCGAGCAGGAGTGTCTGTTTGTGGGCGGGGCTTGCTGGAGCAGAGAGGAAGGGGAGAGGAGGAGCTGAGGGGGAAACTGATTGGGAGGGGTAGAGTTTACATTCAAGATTTCTCCCAAAAACTGGCACTTCCTCAGATCCTGCCTACCCCACCATTAATTTGATTCATTGTGGCAGGGCTAATAACACTGATCAGCAGAGGGCGCTTATAAGTGGTACATACCAAATACTATTCCCAGTGTAATGCATACAATAAAAGTGAGTTTCTCAGTGTTTTTACCTATATTTTAACCTTAAATAAAGCATTATGGGTAATGAAGTGACAAGTTTTGCACAAGGATTAATTATCTGAGTAAAAACAGCTCATACCTCGACAAAGACTGTTTTGCTTTTGGACTTTGTAAACTGTCCATCTCAGGTCCCAAATGGCCGCGGTAAGCCTTTGATGTCACCATGACCCGACATTGTGTGTTTTTTCTCAAAGTCTAAATTGGATATGCTTCGAGATCCAAATAGTTGAAACAGTTTGAAAGATCATACGACATACACCAAATCCTACCAAGTACATGACACAATACAGCCATTCATAATGACAGCTTTTTCTGATCTGATTCCTCTTGTTGGCAGAACAATGTCATTTGTCATCATTGCCCTCCAAAAACCACATCCAGAACACTGTGAGAAACATAAATCTGTTTTATGATCTTCACTTGCGAGGCTTTGATTTGGTTTGAGCAACAACACGACTCGGTGGGGATTTTAGTCGCAGGATGGCGTATGTTGTAAACTATGACGGTTTTGGTTTGAGATAGAATTACTTTTTCATTAGTAACCTTTGTCATGATTACTTCAATAAACACTCACAGGAATAAGTGAAGTTGAAGCCAAAGGACACCAACATGGACTTTCAGCTGCCTCTTTTGGGGTTGTTCCACCGTTTGTTTGCCCACCTTTCCGCCCTGATTCCTCCTTTATTCCTTTTTTGTTAGATAAAGGAAACCAAATGTCATCTTTGGGCATCTGCTCCAATTAAAGTTGGTGTGTCTGCAGTTTTATTATTCATGCTCTCAGTAGAAGATGAATATGATCATGATGTAAAGTATTTAAATCAGCCAATATACAGTGTTAAAGAGACAGACCAAGAGCCAGTAAACACACCATTGCCCGTCTGCCGAACAGGCTGAGACAAAAACCTAACAGGCAGTCAGCGGCGGCGGGCCCGAGGTGACTGAAAGTTTAAAGGGCAGAGTTCAGAAAAGTAAGTGACCCCGTCCTGCCTCACACACTCCTTAGCTGTACATATTTACGAGGTGTAATTTTTATGTGAGTGCCAGGCAACAACAGGTTTAAGAGGGCCAGAGTAACCTTCCTGGGGCCCGGGGTGACCTGTACCCTGGCTACAATTGTTTCCCTGGGCCACAATTAGGAGCAGGGCTTCAATGAGTCACCCCAGCGTCATGCTTCCATGCCGTCACAACACTCGCCCTCTCCGCGCTCATAAGCAGACTTTGAAACGGTCACAGCTTTCCTTCAGCTCATCTGTCAGCTGTTAATACTTGTGCCAAATCTAAGTGTCAGGAATAAGAGGTGCTCTGATATTTTTCTCCTCCCGATTTTGACACCACTGCTTATTTCATCGTACGAGAAACTTTGATAAGCGGTTGTGGAAATATGATACAATATGCATGGACTGCACAAGTGAACATATCCTAACTTCTTTCCTGCTGAATCTCTTGTTATCTTTTCCCTCTTTCCTGTTTCTTTCTCCAGCTCTGGTTTGGTGAGCTTTGACAGTCGCTGCGATGCCCTGCGACACAGCGAGTCTTCAGTAGGGGCTCACTGGGTCTGGCCACACAGGCTTGTCACCACTATTCACCATCAAACCCCAAACTACCAATTAACTCCTGAGCCCACCCCCACCTGCCTGAAGGCACAGTGACCTGCCCCCCCTATAGTCTCACCCCCACCGCCCCTCAAACCCGCTCTGTACTCCCCGAACATGCCCCATGAGATGCCTTGTGACTTAGTGACATACAGATGCTCAGAGATATTCTCCCTGTGTGTGTGTGTCCATCCGTCCGTCTGTCTGTCTGTCAAAGCCCTGAACTTTAAAAAGGCAGATAAAGTCAATCTGTCTGTGCTCATTCATGGCAGAGTCCAGTGTGGCTATAACAAGTTATCCTCGTGGAGATAACCGAGGGAGACAAGCGGGGTCTGGCACGAAGGCAGATGCTAGCAATGAGGGTGTAGTGGAACAGGGATCTTCAGACCTACAGGGATTCATTGTAGCTTAAATCTCAGGAAGTTGCAAGAACGGGTCTCAAACCCTGGGATGAGTTCAGGTTTTTCAACCCTTGCTCTTTCATCTTGAAGATACAGCCACTATGATAGCATCTCTGCTACTTTTGTGACTCCAACCCCCGATTTCCACTGCATCCAGAACAGCTATAAAAAGGCCGTATCTGCCGATCATAGCTGATCATAACCATTCAAGTTCATTTGCCAATTTCCACCAGCTTCTTTCCGTTCCACTGCGGACCATGAGCGTTCTATTTTTTCCTGACGCCGGAGCATGCCGGATAAATTCAGCACAGCTTAACCTGTTCTGGAAAGGAAGTCGGGCACAGACACAAAATAAAACATTGTATTTCACACCATGCAAACAGGCAGGGACGAACAAGTGAAAGGTTTATCGACAGCATTTTTCCCCGATGATCACGCGATTGAATGTGAATCCGCGGGTTCTTCTGAGTTCTTGCGATTCCTGCTGTCCGTAATCCACCATGAAATTCGCTTTACAAACAGATCCAGTAGGAATTGGCAGACGGCGAAAATCGCTGCCGTTCTGGATCTGAGCCATTCCGGATGTGGTGAAAATTGGGGGTAATACAACTGATATAAAAAAAGCTGTTTCTTTTTAGCACATATTTGAGATATTCTACGACCTTCACATACTTGGAAAAGCTGATAGAAAGACTGAAACCTTCCAGGATATGAAACGTCAACATCGCAGATAGAGTCTGTTGTCGCTGTGGCCCCAAGTTGCACAAATGTCAGTCAAGTGGCAGCTACAATTTAGGCCACACGGAAAACACACTGCCTTTGTATGTGTGCAGTCTGTGTGTAGTAATAAGTAACACACTCGTACACATCCTGCGCCCACTCTCAGAACTGTAGCGGTGTTGTAAATGTAGTGGCTCTGTGTGTCTTTGATCAGTGGAGCTGCTGATGGAGGCAAAGTCAGAGCGCGCTTTCATAAAAGACGGAGAGGCAGAGGAGGGAAAGATTGTTTGCTTTGAGACAGGAAGGAGTGACTGTTGAAGTGTGAACTAATGAGGAGGGTGAATCCTCTCAGACAAGAAGCTGCACAGGTGCTAACTGAAGGTGTAGCATTTTTTATGTACGCTAACACCAACCAACAATGGGTGGAATAAACAGAAAGAAGCATCATTTCTATGACCAGGTATGTTGATTCAGATTAAATTTGCTGTGCCAAACACATTTTGGAGGAAAAATCTAACGGTTGAAAAAAAATAAAAGCAAAATGTTGTAGACGCCATATTGAAAATGCTGACTCTGCCTAACTTACTGTCAACTTAGCAGTGGTGAGGCTGAAGTACGAAGAGAGTTAGGGCTAAATGAAGAGGAAAAAATAATTACAGGAAGGAAATTAAAGTAGAAATTTCAAGATTAAAGATGAAATATCTAGAATAAAAAGGTCAAAATTATGTCAATAAAGTTGAAATTTCGAGATTACAAAATGTCGAAATGTCGTTAAAATAATTACAGGAGGGAGATTTTTTACATTTCCATTTCTAAATTAATGTCAAAATTTTCAGTTGATTTGAATAAAGTTGAAATTTTGATTTTTTTAAAGTTTCGAAGTTAATTTCCGAATTTCGACTTTAATCTCAAATGGAAATAAAAAAAAATCTCTCTCCTGTAATTTTTTTATTTTCTATTCTTGCGGCCCTAATCCTCTTTCATACATTCGCGAAAATGAGCTCTTTTGAATAAGTGTATATACGGTTTATGGTGCTTCTGCAGCCAGCCCCATGTGGTCACTTGAAGAACTGCAGTTTTTAGCACTTACGCACTAGCTTCATTTTTCATGACCGGAGATCGCTGCTTTCGTTGAACAGAGTCAGGTTAGCTGTTTTGCTAATGAAAGACACAGTCAAGCATGTCAGTCTCTTTAGAAAGTTACCAAGTGTACCAACCGACTGATTAACCTTCTGTCACTGCAAACGACATGTTTAGATTTAGATTGTATTTTGAAAAGCAACTTATTTTTTTCAGTTACCTCATGACACTTGATATAAAGAGCAGTTCTAGAGTTTGACATCATGGAGTAATCTACCGTCAATCTTCTTTCTAACGGGCAGAAACCTCAAGCAGAACCAGACTCACCAGCGGACAGCCGTCTGCCCTTAACTGAATTGAGAGACAGTCTCACTGATTTAAAGCCAGCAAATAAGAAAAGAAAATAATGGTGAGGAGTACCAACATTAATGACGAAGATGAAAAACAATACCTAACCAAACTGTGGATTAACATTTCTGCACCACATGGATGAATGTTTGGCTTTGCTCTAATTACAGTAGTATAGGCACAACATGGTGAACCGCAATTACATTACTGCAAATCCATATCATCACAAAAGTGTTTGATATTAAATTAAAGGGTTCTCTCAAATACACCACATGAAAAAAGAGGCTTTGACCCAGAAAAACTGATTCAGTTTAACAAATTTGACTGAGACTGTAAAGGTTTGGTAATGATAATGTTAGTGTAGTTACATAAAAGCTCTAGCATGAGTAGGAATCTTTTTTTTTTTTCCTTCATATGTGTAAATTTAACCCAGAAACAAAAAGATATGTCCTCCATTGTCTTCACAGACATAAAAAACATCGCCACAGTCCACATAAAGTCAAATGACTTTTTTTGTGTGTTTTTTTCTTCCTCTTTCTTCTGCTGCAGTCTGAGCCTTTAAGTGTGTCTAAGACTTTCCATTTGGCTGTCACTTTTAATTTGCTTCTTATCTTCAAAGAACTCATCCACCCCTGTTGGCAGCTAATGGAAGTGCTGCAGAGGTGTGGCACCAAGACGGCATAAAATCAGGCGGTAGTATCAGGATTGATGGCTTTTAGTGTCACAGATAGACAAAAAAAGAAAGGTACGAGAGTTTGAAGAAAAACTAGAATAGGGTCACTCTGGTTATTTAGGTAACAATAGAGGAAAGTTTCCAAACAATGAAGTCTGAGTGTGGAAAGAGAGCACACAGCGGACTGGGTTTCTCATCGTGTGAAGGTTTTTAGGGAGGAAGTGGTCGTATCAAAGATAAATCTGTGCGCCCGTAAAGCAAACAAACTCTGTGCTTGAATGACAGCAGAAACCAAGAGTGCTGAAATTTATGGGTGGTGCCTAAACAAATTGGCAACACGGAGCAAACTTCAATCTACTCTACATAGGATTTAATGAAACGGATACTACTCATGCGATTGCTGCCAGCTGCAGAGCTGAAAGAGAGAGAGAGAGGGAGAGAGGGAGAGGCAGCTAGGATAAATCAGGAGTCAAATGCCAATACGCCATCGGCCAAATCTCTCAACCTGATGAAACACAAGAATAATCAGATTTGGAGATGCTTTTTTGGGAGGGGGAGTGGAAGTTTTTTTGAGGGGGGAAGTGGGAGTGTTGGGTGATGATATGAGCAGAACGGACAGAACAAGGAGCTGCTTTTTTTCCTGACTGACAGACGGTCCCAAACAAGGCTGTTCTCTGAGAGTGCAGGGGGGGTTAGTACCAGGTCTTGAGGAGCAAAAACAGAGGAGGAGGGTATTCTTTTTTGAAATGGTTGTTTCTTTTAAGGACGGAGGTTGGATTGAGTAATGTGTGGGTCAGATAAGGGTGAAAAAAAAATTGTTGTGGGATGTTTAAATGTGCTGGCTGTTTTTCCACTGACAGAACAAATTTATGATCTTTTTCCACAGTCTTTTCACTTGCATGCTTAATCAGTAATTTTATTGGCATTAATAGTTGGTAATTGTGCCTGCAAACAGCACACATGTGTAGTATTTCTTTGTTTATGCTTGTCAGCGATGACAAATGTGCGTATCTACGTCGCCTGTCGCAGGTATTTCGTCTCCTTATTCATCACAGGCACGGGCAGAAAGGCTTGAAAACAACACAAACATAGCTGCCTCTCTTTCAAGCTGAACACCTCTGCTTTCCATAACTTTTTCACTCGCTGTCATTCAGCCGGCTGCAGACCGTCTGCACACACAGAACAATGACACGTATGTATCTGTAAAGACTTAATGAAACATGAGATTCCTCTTGAATAGAGGAGTGCAGTGTAATAGTTTAGGACATGATTTATCCGTGGCAGACGGGGCATGTTTGGACAGGAGAGTTTGTTACACCAGTCACAATAATCTCTCAATTCAATCATGTTTGAATAAGGCTAGATGGGCAAAAAAAAAAATAAAAAGTAAATACTTTCCACTTTAAATGAACAAAATCAAGATTTCTTGTTAAAAATAATTTGACAAAATGACACAGATCCTAATTCATCAGCCATAAAGTTGCTTTTTGAAATGCATATAAAAAGTGTTGAACTGCATTTCATAGGGGAGACCAGGCACAGTTATGACACCTTTTCCTTTAGTACTTGTAGCTTGCAACACTCTAAATTTTTTATACCACAAATCATACCAATTCAAACTCCTTCAAAAATATGGGTTAATGTTAAACACTAAGTTCTATTTTGTAATAATCTGCCCCTCTTCCTACTACCAGGGAAGGATTGAACACATGCTAGGCTATCGTAATAATTAGCAAAACAGCACAAATAGAGGTCACATCATGTTATACGCTTCAAAACCAAGTTTAAAGAAATAAAAGAACAACCTCGGTTTATCCTCTCTCCCTCTCTTTTTCTTTCTCTCTCTTTTCCAAATGTTCATATTCTATTGTTGGAAAATTACTTCTCTCTCCGTGTAACAACCTTCCCCGGTCTCCCCTACATGGCGTGCCTGCATATGCACATGTGCTGTCATTTAAACTCCTTTATGATAAATGACTTTAAACTGTTAAATTGTGATGTTTTCCACCTGTCTGTTCTTCATGTCTACACTGAAAAGGAAAAAAAAAAACATTCAGCACACAGCATGAAATAAACTCCAGAGTGACTTAAAATTGTCAGACATCATTTCATTAGATTCATTTCACTCTAACTGAAATGTCAGACCATTGAGGGGTGTCTGTGTTTTTAATTGTTAGCCATGCTTGTTTCTGAATCTGCAGTTAAGTTACCAACTAGTTTGTACCTTTTAAAATTGTTGTTTTTATATTATTGTCTGTAATCTGTCTTTTAATTGTTAAGATGTTTGCTGCTGACCTCTTTACCCAGACTCACTTATAAGAGATCTCAGTAGGTTATTACCTGGTAAATAAATTAAAAAAAACAGTTTCAGTCCACATGCAGTTAATTCGAACTTGGTTGCCATCAAGACCCTTTACTCACAAGGTATAAAAACATTCAAACGTGATACAAAACACACTCAAATGTTGTTTTACATAGTTTTTTAGGACACATATTCTATGAGTGATTATGAATTTAAAAGATTTAAATCAAAGACATCTTTTACATTTTATATTTGTGTTTTAAATTAAACTGAATAACACATCTACTTATCTGTTTCATATAAAGGAGCTTTAACTGGTTTCTTATCACCAACACTATTTATCAAATGTGTGTTTACTGCTTAGTAATGTTATAAAAAAAGACTTTGTGTTTTAACTACATTTGTTCACCTGTGGAAGGAAATATTTTCTGTTTCTTTTTATTTTATTTTGGACAAATGAAAATACCTACACCTGCAGAGGCCACATTGACATATCGCCTAGTGTTAAAGAAAATCATTCATACTACAGCTGCTCTTAAAACTTTGACTTTTGAATAAACAAAATAGAAGAAAACCATAAAACATTCGATATTATTGGTTATTGGCTGACATGGTATTTAATTACTTACTAAAGCTGCATGAAGTCTGTGAGACCTCGTGTTATCCCTGATATTCTCATAGTGTTTGAACCTCTGCTATTTAAGAGTTTGGATTTTTGTTTACAGTGTTTTCAAGCCTTAATGGAAAGATGATAATATATTGTCCACTCACACAGACGAACACACACACATAGAGACAGACAGAGTGCTGATGTCAGTCTGAGGGGGGCTTTCACGTGATGCCAACGGGACAAAGGTTTGTGTGACTCCACTAATCTATATTTTTTACAGTAAGAGAGAGAGAGAGAGAGAGAGAGAGAGAGAGAGACGATAAGGGAGTTGAGTTTCCTGATCAGATTGTGTTTGATGTTGTTAAATATTTTTGTTCATGCTGCATGGAGCATGAGAGTCTGTGAGTGTGTTTAGAAGGTGTGTATGAGAGAAAGAGAGAGAGAGAGAAAGAGTGTGTGTGTGTGTGTGTGTGTGTGTGTGTGTGTGTGTGTGTGTGTGTGTGTGTGGTAGAGCCCGTCAGCCGTACAGTATCAGGCTGCAGCACACACACAGACACACACGCACACACACTCATACATATACACAGCAGTGTGCTTCCGCTGAGCAGGGGCAGAAACAGCAGGCCTGAATCCGATAGAGTAAGATCATTTTAACTCTTTGACACCTGACGTTCCGGGTAATTTTTTTATCGATCTTTGTCATTTTTATGCTTTTAAACTCTCAGTTATATTAGCTGTTTATAAACCTGTATAATTGAATATTTTGAGGAAGTGATTTGTTGCATGTTATAATCATGATCATGACACAAGCGCATTAAGAAGCGCAGTTACTGTAAGGCCGGTTTGGCGTAATTTTAACTTTACGCACGGCGCGTAAGAAATTAAAATACATTGTTGACTTTGCAATTGTATTTCTTCTTATTGATTTCTTTTTTGAGTAATCCAAAAAACTTAAATCAAACAGTATCTGTCCTTCTGTTCGAGTCTAAAATCTGATTTGACTGGTATGATTATTTTGGGATGTGCACTGTTTAATGAACATGTGTCCCTTTAAATTAAAAATGTAAATTAAATACCTGACTGTAAATGTTGGCTACTAAATGTTATTTAAGGTTAGCTTTCTTTCAACGATCCAGTCATAATTTTTAAAACTGTGAGGCTATTATGATGATATTTTAATGATAAAAAAAATATATTTTTTGGCTTCTTATAAAAAACAATGTCTCCTGTCTGAATTGCGCGGATATCCCGCAGTTGCTTAGCGCCATACAGTGGCTGGAAAACATTTTCCTCTTGGCCTCCACACTGACCAGGAGTGATTTATGCTCACTGTGTCCATTTTTATATCACTCCAGTCGATGTATTTGACTTCCTACTCTTTCTAAAGCTTACCGAAAAGTCTTTATAAATAAGATGAATCCAAATCAATTCAACCAGAATGTTTCTGAAATTTTCTTATTTGAGTGTAACACCAGATATTACCTGCCCAGAAAGAGCTGAGACTCTGAGAAGAATAAATATCCATTTTGTCATAACGAGGATAAACTTTTGTTTGAGTCCACTTTGATGTCTGACTGAAAAGCGCTTCAGCTCCTTCTAGGAGGAAAAGCCTAACAGCATAATTGGGACTATCAAGTAAAATTGATACAATAACATCCACTCGCTCGGTTCAAAGAATGCCCGAAGAAAGAAAATTGTCACACTTCTCCTCTTCTTCCTCTTTTTTTTTTTTTTTTTGGTCTAATGACCCCCGCAATTTTCCTCCAGCCGGACTCATTTTCCCGACGATGGGGAGGAAATATTTCATGTGAGGATTTGAGGATCTTTGAAACAGTTTCTGCAGGTCGCTCCTGAGGGGAGTTTGAAAACATGTCGGCTCTAATTAGCGCTGCAGAGATCACGCACCAGTCCGGGAGTGGGTCCGGAGTGAGCCCTACAAAAATCACACTGAACATGAAAAATACACCTGGTGGAGTTTGGATAATTTCTATAACGATTTATGATGAGACGTCGATTTTACTAAGAGTTAAAGTTTTTTTTCAGTGTTGTTCAGATAAACATGATTTGTTGCGGAATTATTTTTTCTACCGCTAAAAACCAATAAGATTTAAAAATGTCTTCTAATGTATTTATTACAATTAAAATGAAATGAATAGGCTACGACCTGAATTTAACAAGAATTTATCTCAAAACATTAAAAAAACGTAAAGCAGACTCCGTAAAATGTTTTGTTTTTACAGCAAGTTACGGTAAAAAAAATTGCGTAAAAAAGACACAAAAACAAACAAAACAAAACAAAAAAGGATTTACACCCATCATTTACATTTAAAATGACAGCAAAGATTAATATTCAGCCTGTTTGAAAGTATTTCCCTTTTCTTTCTTTCTTTCTTTCTTTCTCACAGTTTCAGATAGTCTAACATTTATATTGTCACTTTTGAGAACTCTACATCAGATTAAAAATCTTAAAAATTTGGGTCTGTTGGTTGAAATATCAGATTTATTAAAAGCCAGATTTAACTTCAGTTTCTTTGAGTAAAGTGCAAAATTAAAGAAATTTACCTTCAGCTAAATTTCCACCTTAAATAGTTCAACTGAGGCCTGATTTCCCTCTTTTTTTCAGCCCCTCTTTAACTCACACTGACTGATCAGAGACAAAAGAATATGAACATACGTCATGGCCATTTCAATCTCATTACATCAGTGATGATACCAATATCATTGCCATCATTTACCCCAGTTGCCTATTAATCACCTTCCATTAGTGTCTTTACCGAGCTCTTAGAAGAGGTTCCAGGATCCTGCTCCATGTTGGAGGATAAATGAGTCATCAAGCCGACCACAAGAATACAATAACTAACTGTCTTTTGTTCCCGTGTGTCACCTCAGAGTGATTTTTCACCGGAGCTCTGAACACTAACAGGGGTATTGATTAAAATATGTTTTCCCACCCTCAGGATTGGACAGTGTGGAGTCTCCCGTGGGATCCTGGAGCTTGGTGTGAGCGTACGGAGAGAGGAGGAAAGAAAGGGGAGAAGGGAGACTCAGGAGCGACACTTAAAAAAGAGGAGGGTTCTCCATCTTGCTTTGTCAGAGGTCCTGCTGACATAAGGAAACATCTGCTGCAGAGAAATTGAGACTGATGACTTAAATTAGATGCAGTCACAGGGTCTGCCAGCATAGATTGGGATGGAACCACAGAGAACACGGATAGACAACATCTATTTACCCTGCGCTCCAAGATTTTTGGGGTCAAAATGCAAAAAGAGGCTCAGGTAAAACCAAAGCCCTGGGTGTAGATAAATTTTCACATGAAAAGCCCAAACATGATTAAGAACACCTCATCTTACATTTGCTTAACCCTGTGCCCCCAAATTTGAGGAGTTTAATTACTAATAACAAAATATCCTGCAATTCAGGCTGTTTGTGAAACTGAAGGTTCCAGATTAGGCTTTTATTCACCCACATATATGTCCAAATCTGACTTACTTTGACCCCTTGCACCAAAATGTTTGGGGTCAAAACAAACCTGTATCCTTTCCAAACTCAATCTTCCACAATAAAGTGTTTGCTTGTGTAAAAGTTTAAGTTTAAAAGATATGTTGCTAAATGAAGTCCCTGCAAGTTTACCCAACAATCAATTTGACCCCAATTGCCCCTAGATGTTAGGGGTCAAAACTAGCAAAGTATAGTCTGTATCATTCTGGTTTAAAATAATCTCAACTGGATGTTTGGGATTATAAAAGTCAAAATTCCTAAGGGAAGTTGAAATATTTCCCTCTTGTCTGAATGTGCATGACTATGACCTGAGTTTGACCAATTTCTGCATAACCTTTGGGGTCAAACAAACAAAAATCAAATTTATCCCAAATCTATGTTTAACAGCTTGGTGTTTGTGTTTGAAAGGGAAAGTTCTAAAGAGAAGTAGGTAAATTGACCCCACACAAGTGTACCTGCAAGGGCACTCTGTGTTTGACCCCCACTTTGACCCCAAAATGCTTGCAGTCAAGTTGCACTTTTTATTTTTATCTTGCATGTCTAGATGTTCATGTAGGTGTGAGAAAGTGTAAATGTACTTGTGCATGATTCAAAGTGACCCCTGCACAATAATTTTGGAGGGTCAAAATGACCACTTTCTTTATTCAGATTAAAAAATAAAGTGTGTCCAGGTGTGCTCGGCGATTCAGTTTAACCTAGTCTCCCCAAGTTTTGGAGGTCAAAATTGAACCCTTTTTCTGTTGTGGTAAGATCAGTCATTGTGTTCATAAAGCTTCAAAGAAAAGACACATTTTCCCCACATCTTTGAGCCGACCTCACAGTGACGAAGTTTGACTGCTTTCACCAAATGTTTGGGGTCAAAAAAGCAAGAAATCCCTTTAAATCCAGCGTTGAGGGTGTCTGTGTATGTGAAGCTGAGAGTTTCAAAGATAAGCTGCTTTATCACCCAAATCGTTCATGTATACCTCACCTTGCGTGCTCACTGGGACGACCACAAAAAACACTCATCAGCAGGGTTGTTTGTTGACTGTCTTTTATAATCAGCCTCTCCGCCATTTGATCTGCAGGCAGCTGAACATTCTGTCTCTGTCTGCTGCATGTTACTCGTTGTGTTGGTCCACTTGAGTGAAAATGGAATTTTTAGGAGCACGTTTCACCTCTCAGTTTTTCCTCTGCAACAGCAGCTCGCTGATGCTTTTATGATTACGACGACCAAATTAGAACCAGAGAGAGCGAAGCGGGAGAGAGAGAGAGTGAGAGAGAAAGAGACAGACAGGAGGACAGAGGAGAAAGTGCTCGAGCAGCCAAGCGATGATCAGTCCGGCCTGCTACCTTGTGCTCGAGCTGATACAGTGAGCCAATAAAGCCTTGTTTCATATAGATGAATTCTGTCATTGTTATTGTAATGATAATCACCAGACACAGAGCTCGCAGCAGGCTGTTCCCTGATAGCATGTCAGTTCTTATGATCATCAGGTACAACACAGGTTTTAAGGACATTTCATCAAATTTCTCCACCATTATAGTGTTGATTTTCTTGCAATTACGAACCTTCTATGAGCATAACAAAAGGAAGCTGGAAAAACAGACAAAAGTGTGCTTACATTCTCGCTTTCACTCATGCCAGTGAGCTGATTTATCTTACTATAAGAGGCAGATCTTTAGAATATGCACAGAGAGAAAGCTATCAGATCACCATTATTATTTGTTCTTTTCCTCCTCTGTCTTTCTAATGACTGCAGGGCTTCAGGATTCCCGCTTTGATTCGAAGCCCATTCTCCAATGTGACTTGAGTGGACTAGCTGAGCTAAGACACAATTTTCAGAAGATTGCAGAGTTAAGTGCCTCTGGCAAGACCTTTTTATTTATATGGCACTTGACTTTCTTTATCTCTCACTTGTGTTCGGGGGGGAAAGAAAGCACGAAGAGAAGCAAGAGAGATGCTTTTTTTAAGATTAAGAAAAAAACAGTCAGGAATGCAGGTCGAAAGAAAAATTAGATGTGAAAGCAGTCATATTTCTGCAAGACAGTCCAGTGAATACAGTTGAATTTTTCCCACCCAAAACAGTAGATATGGTGAAAACACAATATCTCCAACTAATGAGCCTTCATAATTCTACTTTTTACTATGACACTGAAATTGGTTAAAAGACGACAATGGTCTTCAATAAAATAGTTTGAGAGGAGGTATTTTTCTTTTTGTATTGCAGAAATAATTCATGCAAACAGAATCAACTCTCCAGGAGAAAGCAGCCCTTTTTCTAAACGGCTCAAAGATATTTGGTAGATTTAGTTTCAGTGTCACTATGTTTACATGAGGATCCCAACACACCTCGACAGCATCATGATTTTGTTTTGGCCTGCTCATCCAAAAAGACCCGGAGTTCAGCATATTTAGTCCAAGGACATTTTCAACAAACACTTCACTCTGAGTTACAGTGGACCTATATTTTCTCCGTTGTAATTCTTCTACATGTTGCTCTCATAACTTATTAGCCTTCCAGTTATTTACAGTCTTGTCTGTCTCTTCTTTGTCTGTTTATGACAGTGTTTCAACCTGTGTGTGACCCAAATGTGGCGTGATTTCATTGGTCAGAACTTTTTGAATGTTGATTGGACCTACCCTGATCAATAAAGTATAGTTTTTCTATGCATTTGTATGGTTCATCCATTGACCAATAACACCCCCTTGTGGTCTTAAAAGATATTGAATCAAGCAAAAGAGTCTTGCATGAGGGCTGTCCAAGGTTAAACTCTATCTATCTATCTATCTATCTATCTATCTATCGATATCTCTATATCTATGTGTGTGTGTGTATATATATATATATATATATATATATATAGATAGATAGATAGATAGATAGATATGGAGAATAGTAAAGAATCAAGGCAGATACAGACATTTTTACAGGTAAAATGTATATATTTATTTATATCGATAGATAGTGATATAGACATTGACATAAACATACAACTTTATGTATTTTAATAAAAATAAATAGGTATATAGTTTTGGAATATTGATAGTATTTCAGCTGACATTTTTCTAAAATAATTGAAAGTATTTCTTTGATTGTTTATAATCCATCCAGTGTTTTCAGTGTAATCCATAAAACAAATCATCATCAAACCACTGGGTTATAGTCATAATTTGACAAGTCATTTTCAAATAAAGACAATTTCATACGCTTCCTTTCCAGCTTATGTGTTTACAGTTTCAAACAGCTGTGTGAAATTCAGTAAAAACTTTTAATCAGTATATTTAAAGCATGTCCTTCTCTTTTGTATTTCTCCTAATCATTTAAAAACCCCACAGAGAGCTCTGAACAGATGCACTGCAGTTCAACAATATTCTGACCCCAAACAAAACACGGCCGTTGCTAGTCAACACAAACAGGAGTGTATAATTACCGGTGTCAGCGGCAGTTTTCCATCAGCGTGCACAATGTTGTAATCCACTCTGATTCAGGCCCAGGTGTGCCGCTGTTGGCTGCTTCAACCAGGTCTTGGCCAATCACAGCTGCAGACAGAGGCTTCCTCTTAGTAATGAGCTGAATAATAATTAATGAAATGGAAAAACAATGAGCGTGGAGAGGCTGTGTTTTACATGTCAGAGGCGTTGATAGGCCTCATCATGATGCCTAGTGGGGGCTGAAGTGTGCGATGGCTTATTGGTTTTGAGAAGCAGTGGGAACACTTGATGTGCTCTAAAGATATAGAAATAAATCTGAATTAATGCTTTCTTGTTTGATTTTATGAATCCATATTTGTTCTTCAAAAGGAGCTATCCTTAACTGTGTACCTGATTTAACTTAAACAAATGAACAACTGTGTCTGATCTGTTAGTGATGTGCTGATTTGAGACAGGCAGACCCTTTATTGCCTGTGGCCACACAGTTGTCGAGAAGATTAATGTCATTCAAACTTTCATATCTGACTCACTGAGAGATGTGTGTGAAAGGCTGGCGCTTTGAAGTCTGCAGAGCTTTTTATCTCTCTCTGTGTAAACTTGATAAAGTGTTAAGTGTTCTCCTTTGGTTTGGGAGATGTGAAACCTATGCAATGAGAGATTTACAGGAAGGACAACAGCAAACCATGTGTGCCTTTTGGGGTCTCCTTTCTCCCAAAAACCACAGAGCTGAACCCACTTAATTGTCAGTTGTTGATTATTAACATCACATCTTTTGTTCATTTTTAATGCAGCCATTCATCATCAAAACCTTCAACTTCATTTTGAGTCGGTTTTCTTTAACGTTATCGTTGTTACCTGACCTCACTGCAGGAACTCAGCACTGTGGCAGCAGACATTGGCTGAGGTAGGGAGGCTAGTGATGTGCCGGGTGAAAACAACTGAGCCAAATTGTTAGATATTTGAACCAGTAAAACAAGATATAAAGGATCTGTTACATTTTTCAAGTGTTAAGTGCAAAATTAAAAGTGAAAACTCATTTTAAGACTTTTATTTGTACACTTCTGATTTCAAAGTTTTTAGTGCACTTTAAAGTGCTCAATTTGAGGTGCATACTTAAGAGTGCAAATTTTGTTGTTCAAACTTTTAGGATTCAAGCATACGTGCGCATGTAAAAGGTCCTTATTCTGCCGTTCACCTTCGAGTGCTCACTTAGGGGTGTAAACTGTGTAAACTATTTAGTACACTTAAGTGCAGGAAGTACTTTTAGTTCACTTTAAAGGGTACACCTTTCTGTGTTATTTAAAGAGCATACTAAGAAGTGTGAATTTTGTACTTTTTAATGCACTAAAAAGTGTTCACTTTTAGTGCACTTTAGAGTGTGCACTTTTTGGTGTACAGTCTAAAGTGTGTACTTTTTAGTGCATTTCAAAGTGCACACTTTGTAGTGTACTTTAGAGCTCAAGGGTTTAAGTGCATACATCTATGATATGCCTTGTATAAATGTAAGTGAACACTTTTGAGACTGGCCTGCTCATAATCTGTGGAATCAAACACCTCACAACTTTACAGTTTCCATTTACAAGTGCAGATAAGTTGTGCACATTTTGAAGTACACACTTAAGCTTGAGGCTGCAACTTCTAAGTGAACTGATATATTATGGATAGTCTAAACGAAGTGGAGGACAAGTTGTGAACACAGGCTGTTCTTGTAACTGCTTGAAGTGAGAGAAACATAAACATGAAAAGAATTTCTGTGACGCCCTGCAAAGAGGTTACATTAGTCCTGGTCAAAACGTTGGATAAAACCACTTTAAATACTCATGAATATAGCAAAAAGGAAGAGGTTAGGGTGTGTTCTAGAGCGTAAGTCTTCATAAAAACTAGAAGGTGAGTTCATGGAAACTTGAGGTTTCCTGTCCCACAAAGAGAATTTACCCAAGCAAATGACTAATAACCTCCTCAATGACAGATTTCTTCTGCAAACCCCAAGTTTAAAAGTACTTAATTATACCTCCTTTCCTGACTAGATGCCTTGTTAACTAGTCCCTTTAAAGGTTACATCAAACCAAGAGAAGAGCTTCATTCTCCAAACTCACCACTCTACCAGTGGATAGTGATCACTCTGACCTGAACCATCATAGTCCCCGATGAGCCTTGAACTCTCGCAGACCTTGGTGCCACATCAAAGGTCAGACAGAGACGGGACCTACCACGATGTCCACTAACGGCTGCCATGACAGACAACAGGCAGACAGCAAGGTATTTTCAAAGTGTGTGTGTGTCCCTTTCCCTCTCTCCCTTTTAAGTTCAGAAAAATCAGCAGAATCTATGGTATCTACAAAGGGGTGTGAAGATATGGCCTCCAGCTGCCTCAGCTTTAAAGGGAGGGGGTGTCAAAGCAGCACGATGCTCTGCTGGGCCGAGGTCCCGCTTGAGTGACGGCTGCAGAAGGGTTACCCATGCATTTCGGTTCTGTGGAGACCAATGAGCTTTAAAGGGTTTCTCTTCTCCAGTAAAATAATATGAATGAAATTATGAACTCACTTAATTCGCACATATTTGAACATCTGAATGTTTTGTGTTTACTCCCTTGATTCAAGGAAATTACTTGCTTCAGTTCCATGCCATAGAGTCCACACCCAAACACGATTGGTTGAGAATCCTTCACTGCTCAGTTTATGAGATAATCTGACTGTCTCACTCACTTTCCTGCAGGTGAGCTTCTTTTTATTTCTGCTCTGATATCAAAAACAAGTTGTTGCTGCGTACGGTCACGATATGCTTGTCCTCCATTCTCCTGATCATTGATCCGTTATCAAAATATTCCACCAGGAAATCTCTGTGCTAATTGGCTACTGTGGCCCAAGTGGTTAGCTTGACTACAGATTTTTCAGCTCTTAGGAATAAGCAAATGAAGCGAATCGAGTCATGTCATTCGCCCAACTAGAACTTGGGTTTAGTTATGTCTTTAAATCGTCTTTTAGCGTAATTTATTTAAACAAATGATTTTATTCATGTATGGTGTAAACACGATATGTCCCATTTGGATTGGGAAGAGAATAATTCGTAGCTCTTCCAAAAGATACACCCACCTGAGAAGGTATTCAAATTTCCTTTTTGCAATGAGAGTTCATTTTACCGCTTGGTTTTTCCTTTTTCTTAAAGTGTTCTTTTGGTAAGGACGGAAAATCAGCTATTTTTTTCCTCCCCAAGATAAAGATGCCAGAAAACAGAGGAAAGTTTAAGTTTTAGGACAACATCAGCTTCAGTGATGATTCTTTTGTAAACAAAGGCCAGATGGGTTTAAGTCGAAAGTGTTACTGAAAGCTGGGGCTGTTTTAAGGAGACTATTACTGAAGGCTCAGATCAAGCTCTTTGTGATTTTAACAGCAGGCAATGAAACAATGGTGAACACAGGCTGATATAGCTTAACCCTCCTCCTGTGTTAGGGTCTGTACCGACCCGTTTTTGTTTTTAAATGCTTAAAAGAACCACTTAAATTTGCTTTTGTGCATCAAGACTTTTTGACTTTGTCAGGAACCTCTATTTTAACAAAATAAAAATAAAAAAATTAAATTGACTGAATTGTAAAATGTTCTTATGAAAATGATGGCACTTGTCGTGTTAGGGTCACTGTTGACCTGGCTAGATCAATATCTAATAACTAGAGCAAAAACTGAATCAAATGTGCACTGTCAGGCACCACACTGACAGTCAGATCCTCTTCCAATCATGTAAGATTTAGGAAATTCTCATTTTTTCATGTTTTTCCCTGCACAAAAAACGTTGGGCATGTCCAGACATGTGAGATCAATTCAGTTTGGGTGTCTGTATGAGCGGTATACTGACAAAGAAAGGCCCAGAGGACCACTACAAAAATATAACAAGGGATATTTTCATCTATAATGAAGCCTAACACGGTAACCTAGAGATGAGAACCAAACTGGAGGATAGAGAATAGTTTTTAGTGTAATTTGCAGCTGATTTAAGACCCGGGTCAAAACCGACCCTTAACATTGTGGGTGTGTAGTAAAAGCTAACACAGGAGGAAGGTTAAGAAGGAGCTAAGCTAAGCCTAAGACTTTTACTCTAAAGGCATAACTTCTGGGTTTCGTGACTACAAAGCTGTGTGAAAAGTAACACCCAACAGCCAAAATGAAGTGTTCAGGCAGAGG